CTGCTTTTGAACTTTCCAACCAAAGTCCTGTGGCCCTCTGATGGTCCAAAGCTGTTTGACTGGCAGCAGCCCCGTCTGCCTCGCATCCTTGATAAACAGCTCTGACTCATGGGCACACACACGGCTCCCAGCTCTCTGTGGTGATGTAAAGGAAACAAAGGAAAGGCTGTTGTTTAGACCACTGCTTCTCGAAGTGGGCGCCTTGAGGACGAGCCAAGGATACCACAAGATTTATCGTGTAACTGTTTACGTATTGTGTGTTATTACAGCCCAGTCGCCAGTAGAAAATGTTTGCATTATACATTTGTGCAAACCACAGATACATTACATTTGTCCACTTCATACATATCACATCAGTGTTTCTAAAGTGAAATTGTTCTGATTACATGTATATGAGCTGACCTTGTCTTTGGGAGGCGGAGGGGATGGTGGATGTTGAAACGCCTAGGCGAGATGGCTGCCAATCTGCAGACTTCATTTGAGACCAGCAAGCAACAAAACTGGTTGTGTTTTAGCAAGACATAAAGGCGTTGCAGATGTGAATGTGCCACACGTTAACTACAGTGTTGTTGAATGTAAAGCAGCAAAGTTTTGACATAGCTGCCACATAATAACATACAAATGTCACATTTCCATGGTTGATGGAGCTGTATTATGCCAACATTTTTCCTGGCAATTGACCCATCGCTAAGTCCCACCCCAAGACGCTGACTGGCCAATCATCATGCAGCACAACAGCAACAACACAGCTGAGCTCCATTGATTCAGAGTTCCTTCATTTTCAGGCTGGTTTTGTGGATTTGGAGCTAAATGTTGTGTCTGGGGCACGTCGTGTATTAATGATACTCGTTACCTGGAGAGGATGGAAAAAGATAAACGTTTCTTCCCTGTTCCAAAACCAAAATCAAACCCTGAAAAGTGTAGGGTTAGCTAGCTAGCTACTGAAGATATAGCCTACTGAATGTATACACATGCTGCTTTTGCTTTTTAATGGTTATAACAGTGAAACAAAGACCGACCCTGCTGTACAGGAACCAGTGAAGGGAAGCAGGGAGACTTTGCTGATATTCAACCAGCTCTGTGTCATCAGCAAAGCCAAACACCGTTCATCTGTTCACACTGTGATGCCACACAGCTGGTTCAATATCAGCAAAGTTTCCCTTTATATTCATTGTCTTGTGTGGCGATCAGCAGTGATGTGGTGGTTCACTTTTACACTGTGATCTGTAGCCTATAGTTCGGCTTTAGCTTCTAACTATCTTCATATATCCTTCAAACACAGACTGTAGACCCCTCTGTCTGCTTCTCTCTGGAATCACTGTTTAATAATAATATTTCTTCAGGGAGTGCAGTTAGTTATAGTGTGGTCTCCATGCTTACTCTGACAGCTTGTTGGACTATCACAAAGGGGCAGGGCTTAGCAAAAGGTCAATTAGGTTGGATTTTAATAACAAGAGCCAACCAACAGAACTAAAATCAGACCAAACACTACTCAGCCGGCGGCTTATTGGACAGGTTTTGGCTACTTATAGAAGACAGATGTCCTCCCCACTGTGGTATTGTGGTCAACTGACATCATATGTGTGACTTGTCTCTGTAATCTCTGGTATACATTAAAACAAAACAAGAAACCACATACCAGTGGATCCAGAGCTCACATGCCCCATGAAAGTGCCCGCAACTTTTGTTATGTTTGTTTTTCATCGTGGCCCTGAAGTAAGAGCTAATTGGGTTTTTATTTTTTTTTTTAAAGAAATGCATGAAAACTCCATGAGCTCCATGAGGTGGTGGCATGGGGGGGGACTTAATACTGTTCATCTGCACACACCGCAAATGGGCAAAGTATCCCTTTAAATATTCGCCTGTAAGTCTGCAGAGCATCTGTTGGCTACTACTGAGTTATCGCTCATATTATTTAACGTACGATTGATATAATATATATATCATATATAATATGTGTGGTGCCATGAAAAAAAGCATTCCTCTGAAGGGATGCCATGATCGTAAAAACTTTGGGAACTCCTGGTTTAGAGCTATACTGTAAACACACAGAGTCTGCCTGGGAAAATGTGATTCTGCCTCCAAAGATGAGTCAAGATGATAAAGTTGATGCTTGCTGCCCTGTTTCACAGTGATTTAAGACAGGTTGGAGGAGGCTTTACGGGCCATACAGCAATACGCTGTCTGTTGCAGTGAAATGTAGATGTTGTCATCTCTGCGTGAGGTTTTATCTCATCTACCAACAATAAAGGCAGTGTCCTGTGTGCAGCCTTGTGATGTTTTTGGAAAGTGAAGGAATATTCAAATATTTGATCACGGCCACACTTGTTTCACAGCGATAAACTGGAGGACGTCGGGCAAATATTTGCTCTCCAGTAGTGTAAAGCTGTAAAGAAGACCACAGACATGAACACAAACACTGGAGGAAGCAGCTCAGATAACGAAAGAGTAAGAAAGAGGGTAAAAATCAAATAAGTCTATAGATTATGTAAAATGCCTACTGTTTTGATTCACTCTCATGGCTCTCATGTTTTTTTTTTTGGCAGTTGTTTTTAGTGATAAACCTTTAGATAAACCTGCTTTACCCGACCAGGCAAGCACCAAACTGCAGACAAATAAAGTTAGAAACTAGCTTGTAAACATGGTGAAGCATTTAGCAGCTCAAGACATACATTTCCCCTCAGGAGGTGGTTGAGACCAAAAACAGAGATACAAGAGTGAAAATTAGACTTAAATTGATCAGGGGCTGTATTCACAAACATTCTGACAATACTCTCAGTAAGCTTCTGACCTGGCTCTAAAATGAAACCTGGGGAAACTGCTTTTATTGCTCGACCAGTCCGACCTTAACGGTGATAACTGTATCATTATTGAGGACTAAAGAAACCGTAAATATTCAGTTTGAGTTAATTCACCAAAAAAAACAAACAGTTGAAAATAGAAGTACAATTCATGAGACATAATGGAGACGTGAATGGGACACCCTGATCAGATACCTACAACTTGAGAACAGGGGCCCAGACATGAAGCAGGAAGTATTTAAAGTATTATACGAGGAAAATTTACGATCTACAAAACTCCTAAGACTAACCAAGAATGTAAAAACTTCACTAACACTGGCTAAACATCGGTTATTTAGGTAAGATACAATAAATAGTAGGGGTGGGGGAAAAAATCGCTATAGCATAGTATTGAATTATTTTTGTGTGGCAATATTGTATCATCACACAGGGCCAAGTATTGATTTTTTAATTATGTAAATTATTAACATGACAAATACAAATTAAACTTTTGGTAGCCTACTAGAATGAAATAATCAGTTGCTTTTTCAGTGCACTAGATACATTTTGCTGTTGCAAAAATTGGCTGAAGTGAGATGAACAGATTAAAAACTTTATCTTATTAGATAAAACAGAAGTTGACAAAGTTTTCCTTTAGGGACATTATTTGCAGTGTTTTTTATTGCATTTTAAATGGATTCGAGAGTGACTAGTTTAGAGGTCCCCAGCCATGCAGGGTGTTAAATCTTCAACATATTTGTGCAGGACCTGCTGCCTTTTGCTCTTTTTAAGAGCAGACACAGATGACTTTTTTTTTTTTTTTTTTGTTTACAGCGTTATCATTCTCATTCCACACCTCTGCAAGTCACACTAAATACATATGCGTTACATTTTTTTCCCTTTTGCTTTTTTCTAGTCTTATGTCCTCCTGAGACCCTGTGTCGTCATATGTCACATTTGGGTTTATTTGACCTAATACTTCATTCTACTTAACTTAGACCTGCTGTCCTCGTTCATGGACACTTTTTTTGCCATCTAGTGGTAGTAAGAGCACATTACACTCATACATGTAAAAACAAGATGGCAGCCACCTCTGCCAAGTCAGTCTGCAGCCAACCCTGACACAAAAGTGGACAAAGTCCAAAACCTGATCACATTTTATGATTGAGACTTGTTTATTTATGATTAATAATGTTTGTAGTTTGATGTGGCAGCAAATTTGATCAATTTTAGCAACAGTAACAGACTAAGATACTGTTAATTAGAAAGTACTTGTTTGAAGACATTGGGTCTTTATTGTTGTCTCATTTGAGGATACTGGGACTTAATTGTCGTTGACAATGTTTAGTTTTTTATACTTATTGTGTCCTAGTGATCCCAAATATCTTGAAAAAATTAAAAATACATACCAAACAAAAGTTCAGGTCTCAGGAGGACATGTGTGAAAGAGAAACTAATTTGAAATAGGGTCACGGAGTCCGTTGTTGGGCATATAAACAACATTACACAAGCATTGTGACACTAAATATTAACATTTAGGAAGCAAAAATAATTAAATTTGGGTACTTTCTGTTTTAGAAAATGACTTAAACAATCCATCAATTACTAGAACTGTTGCTGGTTCATTTAAGGTGGCTTTGCATCTTCTTTTTAATCCACTCTAACTTGCCTCAAAGTCCTGAGGTGATAAGAGGCAAACAGAAGAGACAGCGCCCTCTGCTGGCTCATCCTGAAACTGACGCTCAGGACATAAATCAGTCCATCTAGACAAACCAAACTGTCTCAAAAGAACAAAAATATCATGAAATGAATTATTAAGAAACTATGAAGATTTCACCTTTTACAAATGCTGTATAAATACATCAAATATTTCTGATGCATTGATTAAAAATGGACAGTCTGGCTGAAGAAACAGGTTGACATTGACCAAACTGTCTTCCTTGCAGTGATAGAGGTGATATACTCTGAATCTGAACGAAGGAAAAATGCAATATATGGGGAATGTGCAAATATCTATTCTTTAAAAGGAATATAAATGGTGGGACATCAGCTACAATTTACACCATTTTTAGTCACTTTCTAAAGGGGTGTGGGCAAATAATGACCAATGCTGTGAATTATGCACTTTGAAAATGTCAATCTGGTGTTGTTTATCTAGTTATGACATCAGTGTGCCGTGCCTAGAAAGCACCGTTGAAACCGAAAGTGTGTGTGTGTGTGTGTGTCTGTGTGTGTGTGTGTGTGTGTGTGCATTCCTCCCCAGCTCCGGGGTGATGAAAAGGTTAAGCCAGCCCCCTCTTTGCTGCTCTCTCCCGGTTGCAGCCCATCAGTCCAGCGCTGCCTCCTCCAGCAGCCCCAGTCCCACTTTACGCAGCAGCTGCGCGCTGATGAGACCTGAACAGACCCTAACTTAAACTTTCAGGTCTTGTGTTCTCCTCTCCTCTCCTCTCCGCTCGCCCTGCGTCTCTCCTCTCTCCTCCTCCTCCTCCTCCTCGCTTCTCTGGCATGAACAGCTCCATTGGCAGCGGACGCATGGAGATCTAATTTTGCTCCAATTTTCGGTCCCAGTCCGTGGAGGTTGTCTTGTTTTGCCGTTCCCTTGGTTTTTATGGTCTGCTCATGCGTCGGGAATGCCATGGCCGCTCCGAGCGCACAGCAGCAGCACCAGGATTATTTCAGATCGGTGAGCAGCGAGTCCACCGCCTACATGATGGTCCCGGCCGGCGGGCCGAGCGGGACGAGGCGCCGGGAAGCGCCGTCCAAGATGTGGGTGGCCATGGTGGTGATAGTGGTGGTGGTGCTGCAGATAGCCTCCACCACGGGGCTCTTTCTCTACCTGAACATGTCCATATCGCAGGTAAGAGCTGGTTTCCTCTCACTGTCAGACTTTGTATGCTGCACAAGCTGCAGAAAACTCACCGTTGCGCGCATAAGAAATAAACTCACATGTGAATGTCCTAAACGCACTTCTGTTATTATAGTGATGCCAGAAAAACGCTGAGAGCTGCATTTCACAATAAAAATATCACAGAAATATTATTGCATGAAGCGTTTGGGGTGTAAATCATCTGTAGGAGTTCGGCGATCATCGTCCCCGCGCTCGGACTTGGAGAGCAACTGCCTAACTGGAATTGTTAAACAATGCAACCCGGAATTTAACAAGCAATCCAGGCTGAGAGGGAATAAGCAGACTGTCTGTCTGTCCAGCAGCGTTTATCGAACTAAACGGGTTGAATTGCGTGCTCACAGGAACATATTGTAACCATTTGGGAAGGCACAAGATTGTAGATTGCTTTTAAGTAGGTTACAGATGTTGTGCGCAGAGGTGAAATACGCAGGTCAGTGATGGAGGTGGGCTAACTCCCCTGGGCTTTCATTTCAGCCACTTCATCCTCTGAAATAATCATAAAGCCTACAGATAATACTACTGCAAGTACTTAGAATGTGCTTGCAGTTCTCGTTAACAAACGTAAAGGTATTTTAAATCTTCCTACAATCTTAAGAGCAGCAGTTCTTGACTGCAATATCCTCCTGAGACCATTACTTTAGTTTGGTATAATATCTCCCAGCTATTTGGGATCAGTAGGACACAATAAGTATAAAGAACTAAACATTATCAACGATAATTAAGTCCCGATGTCCTCAAACGAGATGATAGTTAAGTCCCAATGTCTTCGACGAATTCTTTCTGGCTTATTAAGGGTGTCTTAGCTTGTTACTGTTGCTAAGATTGGTCAAATTTGTTGCCATAGAAAGCTACAAACATTATTAATCTTAAATAAACAAGTTTCAACCGTCAAATGTGATCAGGTTTTGTCGACTTTTGTGTCGGGATCGGCTGCAGACTGACTTGCAGAGATGGCTGCCATCTTGTTCTTACATGGATTACTCTGCTCTAACTACCACGATATGGCACAGAAAGGTGTCCACGAACAAGGACATCAGGTCCAAGTTAAGAAGGGCAAGTAAACCTAAAATGTGATGTCCTCATATGCGGACACAGGGTCTCGGCAGGATATCGGCTCAGCTGATTCCTTAAGAGACCAACGAGCAGAGCTGCTGTCACTGCTACAGTTCGTGCAAACTGACAGTGGGGATCTTTGTGGCACTGGGTATAAGTCTTGCTGCAGATATGCATGAACCAGGAACTCAGGTGTTGTCACTGAGATGTTGTTCAGTGAGTCCCAACAGGGGGAAGTACATCATGATTAGTTAACTATTTCCAAAGCTTCACCTGAGTCCGGTGTAGGTAGGCTGAAAACAGAGGTCCATTGTTACCTCTGTTATTGATTTGGTATCAAGAAAAGCCTGTCTGATACGCTGTGATTTAAAGGCACACACACTGTGTAATGTTTAGGTGAGGTCAACAGCGAGACGTGTTACATATGGTTTCTGATACACTTCACAGGAAATGTATATATTGGTCTTTTGAAGAAACTGCGGGGATGAAGTATGAGACTTGATGTATGGGCCCGACGATGTCTGAATCTCAGCAAGAGGCCAGTTTAAACTGTAATGCTACTCCTTCGCTCCTCAGAGAGAGAGAGAGGAAACTGCCTCGGTGGCGTACTGTGCATCACGGCATGAGAGTGAAAACCTGAGCATCTCTCCGACTGACTTTCTTGGACCGTGTGGTGGCTGGAAACAGCTAATTTTCACCCAAATTTCCTCTTGAGATTAAGGATTTAGTAGCCCGTTTTCATTTAAAACAGGTGTTAAACAGTTCATATTTGGAGGTTTTTAGCCGCTGCTTTCTTGCAAAGTGACAGACAGTGCATGAGGCATCAGGAGTTCAGGGTGATGGATAAACATTTGTACACTGAAAAGATTATATCTGGGACTTTTGGGCGAGCCAGCATAGGTATGATTATGTAAGCAACAAGCACACGTCCACGTAACCTCATTCACGTCATTAAAAGTGCCAATCCAGATGTGGTGATCATGGAGTTGCAAGCTCTAGATGCTTGTGTGCTTATTGTTAAAAAGACGGGGAATCCCCAGGCAGGGGAAGAACATGTTGGATATAATATATCATACTATGATCATGACCTTAAATATCTAGGTACAGCTCAAAATGTTCTTTTCATCGCTCATTAAATGATTTGTGTCTGTACTTTGCTCTGCTTTTTAAAAAAAAAAAAAAGACACAATCGTGGCATATGTGAATGTAAAAAGGAGATGAAACCTGATTTTTAAATCGTACATTACTGCATCTGCCTTTTGTTTCAGAACTCGCTGTACTTTCTCATTTTTGTGCAAATTTTAATACCATTAATCTTTATGGTTTACAGGCGTCCTGCCATGAGAGGAACATGATATAAAGGCAAATGTATCAGAATTCGCCTGTGTCTGCTTCCAATTCTCTTACTGGCATGAAAGCAGCAATCCTGTATCTCCAGAGTCAGCTGTAGAAATAACTTTGTACACTTTATTGATAGATAATGTGTTGTACATTTATGAGTGAGTAAAAAAGCATATTTACAACTTGATCACTGGGTTGACAAACGGCCTGGAATGAGCCAACAGGGAGGCGAATTTATTTTTCCTCGGATGGTGAAGGCCCGACTCTGCCTCACTCTGCCTCTGACTGGTTCACCTTGACATTCTTACCCAAACCATTCTCACTCCTCAAACCTAACCAACCAACGAAGGCAACAATCACTAGCCAGTCAGAGGCAACGTAGGCGGGTCATGCCTTTGCCATCTGAAGAAACCAACACTCTCTCAACCCCAAGCAACAAAACAGGTGGATTTCCACCAAGCAGCAAAAACGAAGCCAACATGGAAGTGCCAAAAACTGCAGTTCTTTGAACAGCTGTGTGAGGTTGGCTCCAAAAGCCAGTCAGTGATTCCCAGAGACTCCAATGTTAAAAAACCCAACTTAAAAAAGGAGAAATAAAATGTTTACAGTCTGGTCCAAAAAAACGGTTTTGGTCTCTATAGCTAATTTCCCCCCTTTATGACAACTGTAAAGGGGGTGTATTTTTACATAATCACCAGTTTACATTTTATTAAGGTTATACATTATGCATAATTAAGGGCAGGCAGCTTAGAGTGAGAGGCTGTTTGCCAATAGTGTCTTTGGCTTCAAAGTCAGATCCCACCATCGCTCCTCCACAGCGCCAGCCTCTCACCCAAATATGGTCACCAAGATGGCGACGGCCAAAATGCCAAACTCAAGGCTTCCAAATATGAGTCCACAAACCAATGGGTGACATTATGGTAGCTACGTCCATTATTTCAACAATACAACGGGCCTTAAATAGACATATGTTACAGCTTTAACAGCTGCAGTTTTCAAAGCGTCCTTAGCGTCATGAAACAGTCACAGCTCTGCGCCATAATTACCTGGTTAGCTTACCTGGAGTACTTTTGTCACTAATGTTACGTGATTAGCATACCATGCTACACATATTAGCATACTAAACTACATTGTTACTAAATGAAGTCAACGTTGACTTCTGGATGCGAACACCAGACTCATGGGTGAAACACCTGTGTTTGTTTGACCCAAAGAGTTCCTTCGATTTTTGTAAATTACACAGACTTTGTCACTTTTTATGCTACTTCCGCCTCTGCTCCTGTAATAATAAGTGCAACCACTAGAGGGCACTGCAGTACAATAAATATAAGTATGTGTCATAATAAGTTGCTCACACATTTGACCCATGTGGTTATTTTTTCGGGGACAGCAGGCTGGAGGGAACAACAGTCAAAGAAATCCACCACTTGGGCAGTGACTTTGAGCTTCAGACCGTGACGAAAAAGCCATCCTTTAACGTCAGCATGATAGGCGGAAGAAAGAAAGAAAGAAAGAAAGAAAGAAAGAAAAGACAGAATCCCAACCACTGTCCTGTTACTTGCACATAATAGGACGGTGTGTGGGAATTCTCTTTTCCTCACCTATGGACAGTTCTCTTCTATGCACCTATCTTCAAATTTTTGATATACAAAATATGTTTGTGGAAATAAGATGAATTAGATTATATTAACAAGAAATATAAAAAATATTGCCTGCATCCCTTATAAATTAAAAAGAAAGTACAGCATAAATTAGGAAGGAAATGTCTAAAGTTCCCACAATGGCTGACACATCTGAGTAGAGGACATCTCTGACTACATACAGACACAAAATTAAACATTTTAAATTCAAAAGTGCTATTTTTGTACCTTCAAATAGCTTCAGTGAGTATGGATCGTTTTAAGGGCCGAAACTAAATATTAAAATACATAATAAATACTGAATGTCAGTAAAACTAATCAGGTGTTTACAGATGGTTTCTTTTGAAACATCAAAAAAGGAATTTAGGAATATAGCCGACTCTGGATGTGTTTGTTTTCTTCTATTTTTTATTTTCGTATTACTCTTGCTTTATTTTTTATAACATTTACATAAATTAATTCAAACCTTTAAAATTTTGCTTGTCCAGAAATACCGTATAAAAGCCTCACTCATTTCTAAACCCCGGCGACGGCCCTCACTTCAGTCCGTCTTTCCCGACACGTCAGAGGTGGCAGGAAATCACATAAGGAATAGTTTAGAGATGACACTGGACAGAGACCGAAATGAAAAACATGGAGCTATGTATCTGCATGCGGGGAATCCCCCGGTTCTCATGCGAAGGCCGGCTATTTTTAATCTAGAAACAGGCCCTTCTTTGAATTGCTGTGGAGCTACACCCCATGCCAGCCTGGTTAAGACAAAAGATTCTTGGGGACAATGAACACAGCACAATGAGGAACGCTCCAGTGTTGCCTCAGTGCTGCGGCATTCGCACACAAACAAACACACGCACACATGTAAACAAATGCTCCAGGCCTCATGGGCCCATGTCGCCTGTTCATTTAATGTCTTTT